ATATTTTTGTCATGTGAAGACACTTAATTTCTTAAAAATTCTACTGTATCCATCTGAGGATGATGGCACCCCCTTAAAAATGGATCTGTTGGGTATTACTAATGCTATTTCATGTCTCTTAACATTAAGAATATTGTTTCAGTAGATGTTCAGGAGTCAGGAGTTGCTGGTTTGTTTGCTATTTTTTGGCTCATAAGTAAAAGTTTCTTTGGCAGACTCTGGACCAGAAACATATTTGCATTAAATGGTCTTCCCTGTGCCTAGTATTGTACAGTTCTCTAGCAATCAGTTTTTTTGTCTGATTCCTCACCCCCCTCCTCATTTTTGTAGCAAGTCCTTATGATAGAGAATAAAGAGTGATTTGTCCAGAGTTACTTTATGCCTTTTTTTCAGCACATCCTCAAACTTTCAGTTTTCTGGGACAGTTCACTGCAAAGTTCTCGTATCTTTATCGAGGCAACAGTTAATATTTTTCTCTCGGCCTTTGAAGGAGTTGGCTTGTTCAGGCATGTTGTCGACTTGTTCATTGAAGGAAGGCTGCTGTGTGATGGCACTAACAGCTGCACAGAAAGATCTGTACATCATCAGTAAGGCGGTTCTTTTCTCAGGAGATGTGTGTGAAATAAACCTAAGCTCTTGATTTTCTGAAATTTTAAAGATCTAATTGTAGTCTTGAAGATGAGCACCAGCATAAGTTTTCTACATGTATGCACTCCCATTTGTGTCCTACAGTTGCCAATGCCCTTACTTGGACATGCACTTAGTTTATTTTTGTCTTTTGCCTTTCTTGTACTTATGGTTTGGAGGGGGAAAAAAAAAATCGAGTGATGGAATGACAAGGCCATCATGTCTTCCAGTAATACTGAATGGGTTTTTGAAGGCCACGGTAGTACTAATCAAATCAATAGATTGTGGAAGTATTGCCATGCCTACATTGATGACTAAGTCTTATGCATTATACAAGCCTAGAATTATTTTGGGTGTCTGGATTTAAAATTGTTGCATGGCTAAGAGGGCCAAATAGTACTGAAAAAATAATGTTATTAAAGCAGTTCTGAATATTACAAGTGCTTATACCTCAGGGTAGCTTCCATACCATTAGCGCTATGATTGATTCAGTCCCTGATCTTAGTTTTTGCCTGTAAGGTTATGTTTTAGACTCATCTGATAGTGCATGCAAAGCTGCATCTTTGTTACTTACGAGTATGGCTCACCACTTGGCTTCTAAAGAAGCACAGTTTTGCCTGGATTTCTAGAGAACTCATGTATTTCTGGAAAGTTATGAAGAATGAAAAGTTTGTGTAGGCTATCCTTTTTCTTTTCCTGGCTGTGAAAGAAAAATCAAAACCAAAAGAAGCCCCCTCAGCTCTTTCAGAAAACTGTTAATTTTGAGCGGTTAGGAATAGCATCTCCAATTTACAACTGGTATTAGGAGTATTCTATAAACGTTTCCTTTTTTTCATTCAGAACCAGTGTAAGGGTAGTGTCAGACATCAGGACTTGAAGAAAATGTTGGGGTTTGTGCTCAGACTTTTCTAGGTTGTATATTGCTGTTGGCCATCTCTTTCGGTGAGAACGATTGCGTTGCATTTAGCCTGCTAAAGTTTTACTTGATTGGGAATTCCCAAAGTGGAATATACACAAGAGGAAAGCAGTTGACAGAGAAAGAATTCTTTCTTACTGGTTCGTTACCACTTCTTTCAGATTCAGGTTCTCTGTGTTTGGAAAAAAGAACCAGAGCTATAAGTAGATTGCTCGCTCTATTTTTGATTCAGTGCATGAATATAGCTGAGATGTATGTGCACTGAATGGAAGATATTGGCAAATTCTGGGTCTTGGTTGGATGGAGAGAGGTTAATCAAGACAGTATATCTGAAAGCATTTCAGCCACTATCACATGGCTAATCTTTCTTCTAGTCTCATCCTAACATTAATGAGAATTTGGACAGCAAGATCTGTGTTTGGATGCATTACTCTGATAACAGAGAGCAAGGGTGTAAGGTAAAATGCTGGTGCCAGGGATGCATTCAGTTACATTGTCCACTGTCCACGTCTTGATTTGAAAAATTGCATTGTACAAAGATAACTTGTTTTAGAATAGTAAAGAAGTCAGCTAATCTGGAAAACCTTGTACTGGTTGGCTCGGGCAAAATTACAGGCCTTTTCTACATTTGGAAAAATCAGACCTGCAATTCAGCATGCACACAGCTGTAATAAGAGTGAAGAGCTAGCTGTGTTGCTGAGAACAGGCAAAACCCATAGGGAAATGCTTTGGCCTTCCATGTGTCTGCTGTGTGCCTGGGTCCCCATTTGACTCCTGTAGGTAATGCCTAGAGTGTCGTATAATTACAGCCTGTGTAGTTCTGCAATGACAAGAGCATTAATGCATGAGATGCTGCCTGAGAAGGTTGGCAAGTAATTGCCCATCATGGATTTTTGAGTAGTTCTATCAGTTAAAAATCTGTGGAAATCTGAGTTTTGTTTAAGCTACTTTATTCTAAATACATTTATTTACAAGAAATGTCTCTAAGTCCATAATGAGTTAGCACTTAAAATACAGCAATTCAGGATTTCAGTATTCTCAGATATTCAGTGAAGAATACTGCTGTTACTTACAGCTGACAGTGATTGTGTCACTGAAGACCGAATATGCTGCTAAGGATCAGAGGGTCAGCTCTAGGTCAGACCAGGTTGCTCAGGACTTTGTGCACCTGGGTCTGGAAAGCCTCCAAGGAAGGAGACTGAACAAGCTCTCTGGGCAGCCTGTGCTACTGCCCTCCCGGGGCAGAAGTTTTCTCCTTACATCTAATTGGAAGCTGTCTTTACGGTCATGGTGTGCTTAAGAGGAGTGAAAACTAAAAAAAAAAATATACTAATTTAGATATTTGAAGATAAGGATGAGTAGTGGTTATTTTCTTACTTAAGGAGTTGACTGAATCCAATATTTTCCCTCATTGATCAGAGAGGACAGCATTTCACCCTCAGAGTGCTGCTTTGAGAAATCCAGTTACACAGTAGCAGATGCAGGGTTAATAGTTATCTAGACAGAGCTTTATCTTACCTCTTGAAAAGCCTCTGGGGAGTGGGTGAATCAGGTCTGCTAATTAAACAAGCTAGAGGCTGCAGAAGCATGGAAATGGAACAGGTGACAAGGATGGCAGAAAGTACCTTGGCTTCTGTCGCTGGCTGGGCCAGCAGGTGTTGGCAGGCATATGAAGGTGGGGGTGGGAAAACTGGCAGCTTCTCCTCACCTTTGACAGAAAGGGCATAAACAGAACAACTTATCTCTTATGTTGAAGTATCATTCCAGAAGAAAAACTTCATCGGATTTGTTCCCAAATGTGTCTGAAAAAGCAAAGAAAAAAACCGCATAGAAATAGAAGGAGCAAGCATCTGTCTTCAATTGAAGATAGAAGTTATTCTTGTTTTTTATTTCCTGACAGTCTCAATTGTATTGGATGAATTAATAATAGATTTAATAGACTCTGTGACATGTAAACAAAACCCAACTGATTTTATAATTAAGGAAATCACCATCACTCAGCAAATCCTGTTTATGGGGGGGGTGTGTGTGAAAGGCTCAGCTTGTTTATTAACACTCTGGGCAGGAAAGAATCTTGACTGTTTTGCTCTAGAAGTATTTACTAAAACTGAACTTTTCCACTTTATAGATAGGAGAAGAAGCGTCCTGTAGTTTGAAGTGATGTCACATATCAGAATTAATAACAAAAATTGGTGTGCAGCTTTTGCTATTCAGGTCTGACAGTCTGTGGTCACCTTGTCTCTCAGATGCTTTTACTACATAGCTCCTTAAAATCACTTTCTTTGGTTTGCTTCTTCACACCTCTGATTCTTTACGGTTTCTTGCTTGGAACTAGTCATGAACACAAAGATTGTAGGACCATGCAAATGATTTCTACATCTTCATGCCCACTGTGGCGTTTTTGATATTGCCAAGTGTGTTTCAAAGAGTGATAAAAAAAAAAAAAAAAAAAAATCTTTCTTAAAAGTAATTTCTAGTCTTCATGATAGATTTAAAAAAAAAAAACAAACCAAAACCCACAAATGAATAAAACCCACTGTGGAACCAGAGAGAATATAAAAAAAACCCCAACATAAGGCTGGCTTGATGGTTTGGATTTTTTTTAACATGAAAGGTTAGAATTACTGACGCTGCTAGTTGTCCATCACATTGTAGTTGATGGTCTGCTGTCAGCAGTGTCAGTCAGTTGCTTTGGTTCTTTGGGCTGAAGTGGGTGAGAATTCATTCTTTTGGTTTGCCTTGTTCATTGCTGCTGTAGCTGCACCCTCTCCTGGAAGTGCTGCCCGCTGCGTATGGCAGTGCAGGGGGTTCCTGCTGCTGCTCCTCCTCGCCCCTGGATGTCACCGTGGTGGTGGTGGTGGAAGACAGGGTGAGGCCGTACGGAGGGGCCTCTCCTGCTTGCACTGTCTGGCTGCCAGCGCTCTGCCCCTCTGCTTCTTGCTCCTGCCCTGAGCTATCTTAAAACTCTGGCAGCATGTAGCTCTGTCTCGACGCACCGAGCAGCGCAGCGGCAATGCTTGTTAGTTGCTCAGTACCCTCAGGCCTGAGAGCATGCCCCGGCCAGTGAAGCAACCGGTTCTGGACATCCTTTGTGGATTCTGCATTATGTTAAATGTGTGGCTCGTAAATTAAATGTGGTTGGGGAGAAAACTTCTGGGTTCTCTTCATTTTTTTTGGTATTAGATGCAGCCTTGTTGTTTTCTTGAATTAAGTTCCTTAATTGTGAATAAAGCAACAACATGCTTTTGGATTGTTTTTATTGTTTTGTACTTAATCCTGATAAGCCAGTGCAAAACTTACTCTGAAATCTGGAAAAGCAGAGCAAGTTAGTTGACCACTTGTAAGTTGTTGTAAGTCTGAGATTCACAGAATACTTCGATTTAACTCAAGTTTTCTAAAGTTTATCTTCCTTTTAATTCTAAAGCCACTGCCTTTTCTCAACCCTCTTTTTAAACAGATGAAGCACGTAAAAGACAGATTTGGTGACAGCATGCCAGAAGAAGTGCTGCTGCTGTGTCTGGGCATTACTTCAGGAGTTGGCAGACTGGTGTTCGGCAGAGTTGCAGATTATATTCCTGGTGCAAAAAAAGTTTATTTACAGGTAAGTCTTCACACTGTGCAGAAGGAATATACAAACAATATTGTGAAGGCTTTGGTTGCAGGTACTATTAAGTAAGCAGAATTAACTGATTGGATATTCAAATTTGAGAAATTTCCAAACTATAGGGATCTCAGTGTATGGTTTTTGATACTAAGGGCCTTTAGTGCAAAGTTCATGAATCTTTGCTATTTTTTTTCTCTTTTTAATGCTAAGGAAACATGTCTACTACCTGCTGGCTGTTTTCATCGTGGAATGAAAGTAATTACTAATCATTAGCATGCGAGAGAAAACCTTTGGGGATTCTCTAGATTCTGCTTTCCCTGTTTTATCCCATGATTTCTTAATGGTTGGAGAAATATTAGGTTTTTTTCCCCCTACGTTCCTCCATTAGGGATTTTGGATCTCTTATCACCTATCGAAGGTCAAGAAAATTTGGTGCCCAGTATGTTCTGTGCGTAGTGCACACTGGTGAAACCACGGGAATGTGAGAGGTGCTTAGCTGAGGTTTTGCTGAATGAGGAAGATTACTTGCAGGAAGAGTCACAGCTTCCAGAAATGCTGAAGCTTGGGGGTGAAGGAGAATATATGCTTTTTTCCCCTCCATGCTCATAAACTCTGGAGTTTTTTTGTGTGGTGTGGGTGTTTTTTAAGAAAGTAGAAGTGGTAGCAGTGTTAGTGTAGATCTCTGGAAAAGCTTTAGTTAATAACGTGCATATTATCAACCACTGGGTGCTCTTGTTTTGTTATTTCAAAACGAATAACAAGGGAGACATCTAATGGCTATTACCCATACTACAGTATTGAAAACAAATTCTTAGGGAAGAACTACCTTTCTGAAGATGGAGTATTTGTTGCCATAGTTACATAACCTTAATTCCTTAATGATATAGACCAGGACTGTATCTCATTCATTTGCATTGATTTAATAGCTATTGTTACACTTTCAGGAAATGTCAATGTTAAGATAAAAAGTGAAAAGGCAGCATTAAGGTGTTACACGTGATTTACAAAGCACAAATACCAAACCTGTAGTGAAACTACAGGGTTTTTTTTATTCTTTTCCTTGAATAGCTACAACTGACAAGCATGGACTTTTGTTCAGGGCATGAACTAGGATGCTTCTGAGTACTGTTGGTTTCACCTGGTTTTAAGCAGGAAAAACACATTAATTTTTGCTAAGCCCTGCCCCAGCATATTCAGCTCTTCTGTTTCAAACCAGCTTTTTTGAGGGAAAGTGAATATGCACCTCAAGTATTATTCTGGATTGTCCAACAGTTCATACTATCATCCCATTTTATGGAAAAATTATTTAAGAATTTATTTTGACTAGTGCAAATGAAACCTCTTTCATCTTAGAACTTTACTGTCTCATAATTGAACAACTTACAAGAGTTCTACCCAGCAAGTTCAACCTTCGTCTTTCTGTTTCTGCATTCTTTCTTACAGACCTGTTTTGCTGTATTTTGCTTTACAAATTCTATCTTTAGTAACAGGATGATGTATTCTGTCTCATCTGGATACAAGGCTTAGTGATTCTGGTTTTACTGCTGCTTTTACCATGGTATGATAATACAAAGAACCTGGTTAACAATATCTTGTTTAGAGTTTGTTTACAGATAACCACATTACTACTTAAAAATAAACTAATCTCAAATAGTATTTGTATTTTCTGTATCAGAATGCACAGAACTGAGAATTTCTTCACCTCTATCATAAGTTCCTATAAGAAGTCCAGTTTTTCAGTAGTTTACGTTACCTTGTTTTATTTTAATAGCCTATGAGTGACCAATGCGTAATGTATATGTCTTTGTTTGGAAAATCTGTTTGTGCGTTTAAGTGGGACATTGGTTTCCTGTGCTGACACATGAACGGTGCACAAGCAAAACACTTAACATTTTCTTTTTAATTCTGCTTCATTTTGCTGAAAGACAGAGCTTTATTCTTTAATTTACAACAAACAAATAATAACCTTAATCTAAGATTATAATATAAAATCTTTGTAAGTATTCATGGCTACAGGAATACACAAGATACCTTTGAATTGAAATAAGACTTTCAGATAACACCTCTGTTGAATATAAGCACCCTGAAGTATCACTCATAATACTGATATTTTTACTTTAAACAACCTCACTGTTGTCATTTATTAACACTAATTTTAATGTTATAATTAATTTAATTAACACTAATTATAGTGTTTTAGCTTATTAAACTTCTGAGATTTTTGTGGCTTTCATTTGTAAAAAGAGCAGACAGTAACTTTTCAAAAAACGTTGCTGCATGAGAAATGACCTTCCATAATCACTGCAGGATAGCTGATTACAAATGCACTTTGAAAACTTGCGAAATGGGTAGTGGAATTTTCTTTTGATTGCATGTTGTGACAGTTACCTGCGTTTGTTTTATCTTGGTATGTCACTTCTGATGGTGGTAATCCATGGAGACTGCTTATATTTATTTTAAGGTAATTACAGGCAGACAATTTAATTCACTACAAACACGAGAAAGCTCATCTGTTTCTTTATCTTTGGTTTGATGCACTATATTTTTATTTTTTTCCTTGGTCATGTTTAGGTGGCCTCATTCTTCTTCATTGGCCTGATGTCCATGATGATTCCACTGTGCCACGTCTTTGGAGGTCTCATCGCTGTCTGTCTCTTCATGGGCCTGTTTGATGGGTGCTTCATTTGCATTATGGCTCCTATTGCCTTTGAGCTTGTTGGGGCTCAGGATGTCTCCCAGGCCATCGGGTTCCTGCTAGGACTCATGTCAATACCTATGACAGTTGGTCCACCCATTGCAGGTAACTATAGATATGGTCTGTAGCTGTGAACATGTTTCTGTGGTTGCATGACTTTGTTTGCCATTTTTTCTGTTGCTACATCATACGCAGTGCACTTACACTGGAAGTTTTTTCTGTACATGCTCCAGAACATATGGTGAATTTAACTGCTGCTGCTGGGTTATTAATTTTCTGTAGTTTTTAAAGTTGGCTTTGATCTTTTTTTGTCAAGGTATGCAGCTGTAAAACATTCCTCAAAAGAAAGATAGGTTTCCACTTGGGTGGAGGACCTGATATTTTCCATGCTGTTGAGGTGACAGCCCATTTGTTGATTGTGTTGCAGAAGGACTCCAGATTAGAATCTGAAAATTAACTGGACTGCAAAATTTGCTCATGCAAAAACAATTATGAGGATAAAAACTCCAGTCACTTTAATTGCTTCTTATAAGTAGGAACGCTGGCTCTTTTCATTCTTTGATGGGAGAGTGTTTGACAAAATAAAGTTCTGAAGATGAAAAATGGAAGTTTTTTGGGAGGTGGAAATACCTTAAGCTATAATCCTTACCACTGATCATTTAAAATCATAATTTACCCTGTGGTCTTGTGAGCGCTACTGAAAGATACGTAGTAAGACTTAACTGAACTATGCAGCATTATAAACAACAAAATTTTAAAGCTAGATCAGCACAGACTAGGCGGTTCCTGATCTGGATACTCTATCACAGCTATTAATACTTAAATAGAGTTTGATTAATGGGAGGAGTTGTGAGACAGCAACCAGAGTGAATTGTTGGAAAACGCACTTTTTAATAAGAGGCTACCAGGAATGCAATATATGCAGTGTATCCAGAATAAGATTAAGAGGCACCTTGATCAAAGGCAACTGTTGCCAAAAGAGGGAGAATTTCTCCAAGTCACTGCAAGATTCAAGTGCTGGAGAAGCTGAAATCAGCAGCTTTCAAACGGGAAGTGTAGTACATGGTTTTTCACAATGGATGGTAATTAAACGGTTGAGTGGTGACACACTGAGTTCTTTGTTTCTTGGAGTCTTTAAATCAACTCCAGGATAGCTTTCTACCTATATTTGGCCATCAGGTAGTTGGATTAGTGGTTGTAATGATCTGTGCCAGCTCTCAAGTTCCTGAATCCAAAGAAAAGATGTGGTTTTTTTAGATTCCAAGGCCCCTTTATATATACAGTAACTTTCTGTCTTCCCAGGTTTGCTGCGCGATCGCCTCGGCACCTATGATGTAGCATTCTACCTGGCCGGAGTCCCTCCCCTCATTGGCGGTGCTATATTGTGTTTCATCCCCTGGGTCCACGAACGGCAGAAGTTAAAAGAAAGAGCAAAACCTGTTGATGGAGAAACTACTGAGAAAATGCTGGAAAAAGAAAGCACTTTGTCGGACACGGCAGAAAAGCCAGTCAAAGAAATGGAATCTGGTTTTTGATGCTTTCTCTTCCTGTACCAGCCCGACCTTCTTCTACCGAAGCTACATTTGTACTTTTCGGCTGAAAATACCATATGATGCTGAAGAAGTTTTGAACTATGGCTCAACTTTCAAAACTGCTATAAGAATCTTTTATACCATTGAACTTGTTTTGATGAGTCATTGAGTTTGATTTCAAGCCAGAATTTCAAGGTATTTGAAGTTTTGTAGTGTTAGTGTGTACGTGCGTAGTGATTCTGTGTGTGAAGAGAATATTTTTGTAATTCATCAGAACCTATTTCTGGAAGTGTGAAGGCTGGTTTTGGTTCACTGACCCAGGATTCTTCAATAACTCTTACGGTCCATCCAATGCAGGCACACTCGTGGGTGTTTATGCTGGAAAACGTGGTAGCTCTTATGACTGATTTGGTTTTCAAAGTTTCTCGTGCTGTTTTACGCTCTTTTACAATTTTGTATCATGAACACGGATGTGCATCTTTTTGATTCCCTTAACTCTTGCTGAAAACATTAGAAAGCTAAATTATCAAACATCTGGTTTATTTTCTCTAAATACCCCAGCTCAGTTTGCTTAAACGTTCACCTGTTTTTGCATGGATTCGCCTTTTCACCGTAGCCCAAACAAAGAACATTAAGGGTGGGCACGGATTTTGAATATGCACAAACTAAGCTCCGAGTGCAAGCACATTCAGAAGTAAAGCTGCTGAACGATAGGTTTTTTTAATTGGTGAAGGCAATAAAATTAATGTATTTGTGGGGTTGGTTTTTTTTTTTAGCTAAACCTCAGAATAGCTGATGGTTTTGAAATTGTACTGACAGTAATATTTGGAGCAGCATTGTGAATTAGACTAAATATTCAAATTATTCTGTTGTACTTGTTAGGTTCTTTTTTTATTCTTAAAAACAAGACAGCTTTAAAGAATACATTCGAAGTGCAATAAGTTGTTTTTAACGTGGAAATACACACGAGCTATTAAAATGACATTCTACAATTAAAGATTTTTGCACTAAGTGAACATGCAGGTTTATTATAGGTCTTTATAGCTGTGTTCAGTTGCGTGTAGGATATAGCTCCATATTTTATTAAAATATAAAGAAATGTCTTTGTATGTCCTAATTTTTGCTGAACATACTAAACATGGCCCAATTACTTATGTATTCTTAGGTATTATGCACTGCTTGTCAAGCAGGTATTTCTGAAAACCCCTCTTCCTCTGAAAAATATTTGGAAGCACAATTATTTGAGATGAAAACACTGCTTTTCAGTTTATCGCCAAACACTTCCAAGTACGCTGTTTATTTGTGGATATGGATCAGCAATGCAGTGGAATACTTAATCATCCTTTATTTCAGGTCCATTCAGTACTAATAATTTTTGTCTTCTTGTTTAGAAGTGTCATAGCAAAGAGTAAACTGAGTGTGATCTGAAGACAGAACGCACATTGAAGTGCATTTCCTTAACTAGGAACAATACCTGTTCTTTACATCAACCAGAGGCATACTGTTTTAAAATGAGAACCTTCATTGTCTCTTCTATTTTTATTATTTTTCTTTTTCCAGAGTTGTAGCAAATTGTTCAGAGAGCCCATGCATATTTGTGATATAAAACATGATGTTAGCAATACTGTGGCTTAGAATTACATCTATCAACTGAAAGTCCTTTAAATGTAATCATGCAAAGCATCCTACTTATCTGAGACCAAAGCTCATACCTCTTTTATATTGCAGAATTTCAATCCATGCTTTTACATGAGTGAGGTTTAAAAGAATCGAATCCTAAAATGTTAGGGGTGTTTGGGAGGGGCTTGGAGGTCCCTTTAGGTTTACTGGGCCTTGTGCTTCTGCACCTCATCAGTGCTTCTAAAAATTCCATTAAAATATTAATAGTATTGTTAATTAAAATGACTACAAAATGCTGCCTTCATTACAGCAATGAAGTTAACAGCTTATGCTGTTCTTATCTGGAGTATTTTTGTAGACCGTATTATTCAGTATTACCTTCTATCGGGGCAATGCCGAAAGTGTTGAGTAAGTGTGGTAAAAGCCTCTTGTTTCCTATTGCTTTGTTATGAAAAACTAGTATTCATCACAGATCTGACATTTCATGTGTTTCAGCTTTGAGTTTTTAACCCAAACCAAGGTTGCTTCTTAGCACTGATGCAGTTTGGAACCACTGTGACCAGACGTCTTGGTGTCATTGTGGCATCTTCCTGACTTGCTGCTCTGTATCTATATAAATTATCTGGCAGAGAATATAAAATAATTGTTGTTAAGCTTTAGAAATTATACAAAAATAGTATAATAATAGTATTGATTAATATTACCAAACCCTTTAAAATGTTTTTGTATATAAAAACTCAAACTCTCATATTTGAGTGACTAAAGATGTAAATTTTGCTTACAAATATGAAGGACAGCATCTAAAAAAAAAACCCCAAACCCAGAGACTCCAGGAAGAGGGTACGATGAGTGAATAACTGTTGAGGAGTGATTACTATGTTAAAAAAGCTAGTGTCGAGAGAAGAGGGGGAAAAAAAAAAAAAAGAAAAAGAAAAAATTACTGTGTTAAAAAAAAATGTCAGACAAGGAAAGCAGAGTCCGGCATGGGAAGTTGTGCTGGTGTGATGATTTTGGAATAATGAACCTATTTCTGATGCCAGTGCTTGTTTTATAACAATGCTAAAACTGAGAAGGCTTCAGAAAAAAAATGAAATTTCAGAAAAGGTAACAAAAAGTAAATTAATGCATGAGAATTCCGTTAGCATCTTTACTGTTAGCTTGTATCTATGGGGGCAATGTCCAATAGAAAATGCTCTTTACTGGACATGAGCATAAGAAGATTGTGTGCTAAAGCTAGCTGAGATGCAGAGGAAATGGAAGTGAAGTTCAGATTGTTAGTGGTGAGGCTAACCAACCATGGAGAAACTTACTTAGAGATATACCGGATTCTGTATGCCCTGAGGTTTTAAAAATGAGATGAGCTGTCTCCCTTTAAAAAACCAAACAAAATCCAACCAAACACACACAAAAAATCAACACAAATAGCAACTATTTAGTACATTTATGAAAAAAAAAAAAATTGCATAATGTAGAAATGGTTGCTATTCCGCAAACTGAGAGAGAAAAGCACCAAATAGTCAATTTTATTTTGACTGACTAAATGTAAATAATTTTTTGTAACAAGATTTAATT